TCGGGCAGTTACCACTGATCAGTTGGGCAGTCATGTTACGATATGGATAATAGTCCCAAAGAGGCATTATATATGTAAGTATAATTAGTATACATATACGGTGGCACTTCAAAGATTCAGGTTGATTCTTATATCTCTTTCATTAATGTTGACTTATTGTTGTTTTTCAAGTCTGCCTTACATACTCGGTACATTATTCGTACTGACATCCTTTTTGTTGTGGACACTGCATTCATGCCTGCAGGTGTAGGAAATCAGTTTGACGAGCCCTCCTAGTAGACGAGGTTAGCATTCAGCTAAAGATCGGTAGGACTCCACTTCATTCGGAATGTAGCCGAGTCTATATGTCATCGTGTCAGAGTTTTACTGCAAACTTATGGGTAGGTCGGGGCCCTGTCCCATTTGATGTCAAATACTTTTAGAGGCTTTGCAGACACATGTTCATTATGTACAGTATGTCAGAGGCCTTGACGGCCCGTGTGTATTTATATTGTGTGTATGATGGATCGTTGCTATAGCATTTGCCCACCTATAGTTATGCATTACGAGTTGTGGCCATGTTGGCCCATGATGGTTACGGACAGAATGATTTTAGGCAACTCGACCTATGTATGTTCTAGTTTTGGTCGAACGATCATGAGTTACAGAGTGGTTCGCTCGAGCTAGTAAGGCACCGGGTGCCAGCCATGCCCCCCAGAGTTGGGGGCGTGACATCATGTTACTTGCTTAGCATTAATTGTTGAAATTAGAGAATACAACAAGGACTAGTCCAACATATGCAACAATAATACAAGAGTAACGGAGTAAGAAACACCCCAAAATCGTTGAAATATTACGTAAACTGCTTGGCAACTTGCAAACTAAGAATTAAAATTTGCATCCTACCTTATTCCTCCATTTTCCTAAAGTACATGGGTTTTACTGCCAACCTCAACAAGAATGCCAAAATAAGTTTTGTGTAACTTAGTATATTAATCAATAATATCTGTAATGTGTAATTTAGTATATATTTCGGTACGATATTGGTATTTCGATGTTATTTTTTTAAATACCAAATATCATACATAATATCAAATTACTTTAAAAACTTAAACCAAATACCAAAATACTGAATACCATATACCAAAATTTTCGACTCCAGTATAATAATTCGATATTTATCATATTATACACCGCCCTAGCTAAAAATCATTTCCCTTGGTCAACTTAAACATTAGAGATTCAGAGCTTAAAGAGCTTTTAATCGAATCTTGAAGGAACTAAGGCACACGAGTCGTGAGCTAATAATTGGTTGTGCATCGAGAACAGGGATGGATGCGGCCTTTTGGCTATCAGTTCAACTGAATCCGTAATTTTCGATACAAAATATGAATTTTATTTTTAAACCTTATTAAAATCTCAACCCCATAATTTTAACTGTACAATGAGTTTAAAACTAAAAATCTTAAAAGCTGAACCCACTAAATTTAGTGGATCTGCCTATGATGGAGAATCCAATAATGGAACAGGAACAATTTAAATCCAGCTTTGGTATTTGGTATTTAAAATGTATATCAGTTTTGTTTATTTAACTCACACAGCATTATGCAATATCTATCAAGTTGTCCGTCTGTCTCCTTGTTTTGTAAACCAAGGAGGGAAACAAATCCTTTTAGATTCATGTCCGCTCCTTGATTTTTCTTATTTTTAAAATGATTCCATAAATCAAAGAGATTGCATAAATGGATGAACTGTCCTATAATATAATCCAAATGCTGATTTGAAAATCATATAAATCATGTTGTTTGGTTTCCTTATAGAAAATCAGATATTACTGGATCAGATCTGTATCTGTATCGCAAATCGCAATAAATATTTAAACTCCTGCCTCTCTTGTAGGGGTGTGGCACATCTTCAATTAATGCATCATTTGACAATTAAAAAATGGTTAAGCTTTTCTCTTTTTTATTTTGTCTAATAATCTCTAGTAATAATTGAAATTTTCTAATGCAGCTATGTTTGAATTCTTTTCTTGGACAAAACTTTTTGGCATATAGTTTAGGCCTTGATAATATATATTTTAAGTTTAGAAGCATAAAAGCAAAAATAATGGATATGAGTTTTCTTTTATGAAAAATTACTAGTGGAGGGATAGCCCCAACGTGAGCAAAACTATGTTGTTTGTAATTCTACACAACACCTGCTGATACATCCAAAAACATGTATAGCTTTGTAGCAACACCTGCTGATACATATATGTGTACGATGGTAGAAATTAGAATTACTATAAAAAAAAGATGATAAACTATTATGCCAAATCAGTTGATGCAACACTGAAGTTTGACTAAAAATTCAAAAGTACTCTTTGAGCACTAAATGAGCTAAAAAAGAATTCGAGAAAGGAAAGTTCCATCACAGTTAGAGAGACTCGTATAAAATACATATGAAGGTCGAGAAACAGGTCGAACGTGGTTGGCATTCCATTAACAACTGAAGCAGCCACAAGGTTTCCAGTGACCCTGAGAACACGCCAATTTCTTCCATCAATTTGTCCATTTGTATGCTTTCCTCCTGTTATATGCCAGAGAAATAAGAAAATACCAGAGGAATCTCAGCAATCAAATGGATGATAAACAAGAGCAGACTGATCTGAAAGAGCAAAGATCAACTTCAACACATCCTTAAGTCTAGTTTGAATTTCAAAATTGAAAGATCACCAAGAAATAGATTAGTCTAAAAACATACATCTCGTGGCGTAAAACTCGGAGTGTCTAAAAATCTATATTTCTAATTAGCCAAAAGAATTAACTCCAACTAAAACCAACACGTGCATGGATTTCGCTGCACAAATTGGAAGAGGAGAAACTGGAAATCTATAGCTTACTTTAAGTTTAATTGACTGTACTATCCAATTGATGACTTTTAGCATGAAGTGAACTACTTCAGTGGTAGAATTTGTCGGGAAGCATTATGAAGCAAAGATTCTCAGTAAAGTGTGCATTATGAGGCAAAGATTCTCAGTAAAGTGTGCAGTGTATCACACATGAAAATTGCCCTGGCACTCATCATCATACTAACCAGATAAAATAAATTTCCATGCGTCTAGCTGCTCATGCTTATCTTTCAGAATACAAAAAGGCAGGTAAAAGACTTAAAGGTAACAATATTTACTCGTAGTAGATGCAGTTAGCCTGCAATTTAGAGAGGTAAAGCAATTTAAAGATAGAGCTACTTTCAATACCTGAAGGTGGTGTAGCTTACATTCACTCAATCAGTTCAGCAAACTTCAACGTCTCATAAATCGCAAACTGATGGAAACATTGAACTACAATGTGCGTTAACTAACTATATCTGACTTCGGAAAGAAGAACCAGATTTTTATCTCATAATCAATAGGCAACAAATATTACATGTTCCAACAGACTAAATATGTTTGTCATTGCACGTCGTCATCCCTTGTGCCTTTGTGTAGAGTCTGTAGCCTAGCACAGAAGAGAGTAAAACCATAAATTAGGATGCTTTTCATTTATGTTTTCCTAGCACATCTCATGATCATCAGTTGTCACAAAATTGAATATTGTCAAATAAAATAATTAAATTATCAACAGATTTGATCATGTGGATTTGCAAAACAAGTATAGCAAAATATATCTCACCTATAGGCGTTGAATGCCTCAAACATAATTCGGGTCTTAATACATAATAAAAAATTCTTACGTTTCTTCATACTTTCATGCTCTGTTATATTATTCCTTAAAGCTCTCCATAATAAGAAAGAACATTTAAAAAGAATATTCTTGTGCCAAGTCTTTTTATTAGTGAAAAATGTAATTTTCCTTTATCTCAGTATTTCCCAGCCAGAGGCACACTTGAATTTACCAAAATAATTCACCAGAGAAGAAGAAGAAGATGAAGGTGAAGAAGAGCAAGGGAAATATACACAACAAATATCTTTAAAGGAACTTAACCTCTCAAATTAACAAAGCTCAACAAATTTTGATAAGTTAGTTGTCGTTAGCTAAAAATCGTTAAACTTAATGCAAAAAAGTATTCAAAGAGCTTGTAATCACTACTGATGTAACACCCCAGAAAATTTTGAAGTACTTAAGCGCTATTAAGAAAGTTGATGTGCGCTAATTATATTATTTTGTGTGTAGACAAGGACTATTATATGAATGATATCAATTGATCATGATAATATATGTATGATGTGCATTAAGAATGGTTTATGGCCTAAGAAGAGCCCCAAGGCTAAGTCAAGTTGAAAATTTTATGATGGGATAAAATTTCAAGTGAGTTCGCACAAGATCCTACTTCAAACGCATGCTGCTACCAAACTATAACTACTTAGGAGATGATATACCTATCAAATTAAACCCTTTAAGTCTAGTTTCCAACGCTTCAAACCGTTCGTCATTTGGACACTCCTACAAGAAGTTATGACCAAATTATCAAAAGCTGGAAAAATGAGATTCTGCTACCAATTCTGCGATCGCAAAACAATTATGCGATCGCGAAAGTGCTTCTGCGACCGCAAGCTGGTCGCAGAATGGACCAGTACAACCTAGTTTTTGGCACCGATTTTACGGTGCATTTTGCGACCCGCACAGCCATTCTGCGGTCCATTATGCGACCGCAAACTTGCTTTCGGAGGGTTAATTTTTCTATTTTCATAATCCGACCCCATTGTGATAAATAGGCTTTGGGGTTTATTTTGGGGCAATTATCTGAGGTTTTTTAGAGAAAAGTGAGAGTGTTCTAGAGAGAGGAAGTAGATGAAGTGTTTTGTTCATCAAGATCTTGTCCAAGCTTTGAAATCCAACAAGAAAATTTCACAAGTTCTTCATCTAAGAGGTAGGGTTCCATACCCTAGTTTTTAATTTCGGATTTGGGTAGAAGATGGTTGATTAGGAGTATGATTCTTGGGTATGAGAGTATTATTTATACATGTATGTACCAATAAGGTTTGTAGGAAGATTGTTAAGCTCAAATAAGTAAAGATTGGGTTGTAGAATGAAGGAAATCTTGTAGAAGAACCTTGTAGCCAAATTTGCACACCTAGTGTTTGATAAAATGCTCAAATTAGCTAAAACCATGAATACCTTCCTAATTTGTGTTCAATTTTGTTATGTCTCAAAATAGATTGGAATTGCTAGAATTTCCGGAACGTTGCAGTAATTTAAGGAGGGCTCAAAGCAAGGTATGTTGGCTAAACTACTATCTTAGAATTGAATTCAATGATGTTCTCATAAGTTTCAAGTATGGTTGTCTCAAGTTCCTTATTCTATGTTCCGAGTTGTTCCCAATAAATTTGATTGTCGCGAATAAGCAAAGTGTCGAGAATTATGTATTCAAAACGTGTTCTGAATGCTCCTATCACATTATGTTATCTTTTGAGAATGTGTTCAAGAATGATATGTGTATTAAAATGCTA